GGAGAGGGGAGGCAGGCGGGAGCCGAGCTGCACCCCTCTCGCCCGCCACTCCCGGCCAGGAAACCAATTTATTTTGTTTTGTCTCTGTTCTCTGAGCGCACAGCGCAGCCTGGGGCAAGCAGAGGGCCAGGCCAGGCAGCCGCTGCCACGAGCCAGAGGAGGGGGGCTACCAAGAGATGCGACCCCAGGTAGGAGAGAGGGGCTCCTGAGAGCTCCCCCCCCCCTGAAGCCCCCACCTCACAGCCCGAGACCAGTAGCCTGGTACCACCGTGTCTTGTCCCAAACTCAAGACACAGCATGAGGACCAGTGCCCCAGACCCCCTGGGGGCCTGTCCTGACCCTCAGCTCACATACAGACCCTAGCCCACCCCAAAGGGGGGCAGTGTGGAAGCGCCAGGGCCTGAGGACACACACGGGGGTATCAGTCAGTCAGCCCCTCCCCAGGCTCCCAGCAGAGGCTGGAGGGATACTAGGAGACAGACTGCCTGTGACACACAAGCAGAGGGCTCTGCGCCCCACCTACCCGGGCACCCGCGCATATCACCTCACTCACACATCCCAGACCCTAATGGCTCCTGCACCTGGGATGGCCTCGTGCCAGCACACCCTCGCAGGCTGCTCTGGGCTCTCCGCCCCCCAACCTGGGGCCAACCTCAGCCCACACACCAGCCCCTGGCAAAAGGTCCAGCCTCAAGAGCCCACCTCCTCATCAGAGCTGTCCTCTGCATATTCGTCCTGGCCAGGTGTGCTCCCCGCCGCCTCCATCCTCAGCGAGTGGCCGCCGCCAGCCTGTGAAGAGACAGTCATGTGGAAGACACAGCCCCAGGCCTAGGTCCCGGGCCTCGCCCAAGGGAGTGCCCTCATCCCTCTCTGCTCCGGCCACAGCCCGCAGGATAAGGCCAGACTCAGCACCGTGAGTCCCATGCAGGGGGCAATACTGGACCCTCCCTGTTCAGGTCTGCCTGCCCCCAGCTGCACGCCCCGCACTGGCCATGCTGGGCAGCCAAGGACAGACTGGGGTCATACTGTCCAGTCACAGGCCCTTCCTGTGCCCTATAGACAAGCCAGAAATGTGGATGCTGGCTGCATAGCCCTGAGCTAGCAGCTCCCAGCCGCCCACCGCCACCAGCTCACCCCAGCAGGGGTGCCCACAGCCCACAGGGGGCAGCAAGGTCGGGCTCAGACCCGCTCCCCCCAAGCCACCTCCCAGGCAAGCCAGACCTGCCAAGCACCTCAGACCTCAATGGTAAGGGGTGTCACACACCACACACACCCTCCCCCTCTGTGGCTCTCATAGCCTGACCTGGAAAACAGATCGAGGCTTCTTCCCAGGCTGATGGGAAACGCAGCCTCTCTGCCCCAGCCCTGGGGACAAAGCCCCCACTGCCTTCCTGCCCTCCCCTCTCCCCTGGGCACTCCAAGGGCAGGAGCCAAGGCTTTGCCTGGGAAGGGCTTGCTTTCCACAGCAGCCTCCCACGCAGGGCTGCTCTGCTCGCCCCTCCCCAGGCCCCGGGACTCCTGCCTCCAAGTGCCCAATGAGTACGGGGGAGCCCAGGACCCCACCATGTCCATAAGCTGGTCGGCACCCACCTGTCATCCAGCACACAGTGCACCTATACTGCAGGGTGATGGGTGGGGCACCGGAGGGGTGCCCCATGGCCCACAGGTCTGGAGGAGCAGCAGAGCCAGCCATGACCACCAGGGGGCACCCAATAGCCAGGGAAACCCGCCCAGCTTTGGAGCAGGGCTTCCCTGTTGGGCATTTCAGTTAAAAAAAAAAAGTTAAAATTTAGGTTGGGGTGGGAGGGCTCTCAGAAGAGCCCCAAAACACCTAAGATATGGCAGACACAGTCTTGGGGAGCGACCACGGTCAGTCAGCCCCAGCCATGCCCACCCGAGGCTGGCAGGGGGCCAAGTGTAGGGCTGTGAGCAGGGGCTCACAGAGTCAGGCTGCAGCTGCATCCACAACTGCTAGTTCCAGGCCAGTGTGGCTGGAGCAGAGGGTTCGGGGACCTGCCTGACTGGGTACAGCCCCACCCTGACCAGCTCTGGGCACTGTGAGGGCTTCCATGAACTGAGCAGAAGGACCTGGGGGAGGTGTCAGGGGGGTCCTGGGCCCCCGTGCTGCCAGAGCTCCCCACAGCAACACCTCCTAAACCAGAGTGGGAGCTGCCCCGCCCTCCTCTGAGATACCCAGGCGGGTACTGAAAGGAGACAGGTGAGCACACGCCCCCTTCCTCACAGAACAGGGTACAGGGGGAATCACTGCCCATAAGCCCTCCACATTCAATATCCTGGAGGGCATCGCAGCTTCCTCTGCAGGGGTCGAGGGCAGGGTGACCCTTGTCAGCGAGGACGGCGCCCGGTCCCTCCCACTGCCCAGCCCAGGACGGCTCGCCACAGCATGGAAGTGATGGAAGTAGTCAGCTTTCCTCCCACTTCCCTAGAGTAAGGGTGGCCAGAGGACCCCCTCCTCGCAAGGCTCCCTGGGTCCATGTACTCTGTGCCCTCTGGCCCTGCCCCTGGCAGGCACACAGCTCCACCCAAGTCTGCAGGGCTGGCAGCCAGTCTGCCCGGGTCTGTGGCTGTCAGGTGCTTCGTTTCCAGTGATTGGGCCCTTGTGGCTACAGCCAGGCCATCCTGCTTCAAAGAGATCCCTGACCCCAAAGGCGCCCAGGGACTGGGGAGCAGCCGAGGACTCCCAGGAAGCTGTGGAGCAGTGGGAGGCAGGCACAGCCTGGGTCACCCACCTGTGGGTCCTCCGCCGTCTTCCCCGTACCACTGGTGGCCCCGCCCTCACTGCTGTCACTGTCCGAGTCTTCCAGGCCAGAGAACACGCTCTCCTCACTGCCAGAGAGGCCCGAGTCACTGGCTTCGCTGCGGCCAGGTGCAGCACCTTGGAGGAGAGAGGGCTGCAGGGAGGCACAGCGTTGGTTCCAGCCGGTGCCCACCTGCCTGTCTTCATGCCCAGGATGCCAGCACAGCCCGGAGCGCCCCCTTGGACCCCAGCCTCACACCTTCCACCCCCAACAGCACCGCCATCCCCCTCACACAGGCATTTTACTTCCTTGTGGCTTACAGGAGGGAAACTTATGGGTGACATCTTATTAGTTCTCAAGGCCTCTCCATGCCGACTGAGATGCCGCCCCGCCCTGTGTGTGCCCCACACTGGCATTCAAGGTGTTCAGTGCTATAAGCATACCAGGAAAGGGGTCGGGAGAGCTGAGGGCAGAACCCACCTGGCCGTTTAACGCTGATGGGAAGGAAGCATGAGGCAAACCTGGGCCACCTGCATGAGCCAGGCAGGGCAGAGGCCTGAAACCAGCAGGCAGAGTGGGAGCCTGGCCTGGCTCCTTGTTCACCTTGGACAAGGACCCATCCTGAAGACGCCCCAAGCCCTGCACCCGAGTTTCACTCTTCTTCGCAGAGGACAGCCTGCAGTGACCCGCTCGCGGTCCCCAGTGGCCAGCTTTGTGCACACCATGCGTTTCTGACACAGAGTAGGAAAGGCAGGAACTCAACAGAGCCGGAGTCCAAGGATTGTGGCTGGGGCCGCCACCTCAGTGGACAGAATGGCGCACAGCCCAGCCTACTCAAGAGTGGGGATAGTGCGGAGGGGCAAGCAGCAAGGATCCACCTCACAAAGCCAAAGGACAGGCTCACTCGCCAGCGTGCGTTCCCACCCCAACCCAGCAGGGCGGGAGTGGCCTTGGCCAACAGTGGCCCCTGCAGCCATTAGTAGCTAACTCCTGGGAAGTCAAGAGTTACACGTAGATTTGACCACACAGGGCGCCCCAGCCCTGCGGCTCCTTCCGTCCATTTCACAGAGTTCTGGTGGCTGCTGGACAGTCAAGCCACAGGGCCATCCACTCCCTGTCCACATGTATAAGCCAGCAGCCCCGAGGACGTCCTCAGCTTTCTGCAGAGCTGTTGATCCCCTCCACTGTCAACGCCCAGCTCTGTGGCTTCCACCTGGTCTTCTCAGCTGCTGCCACTACTTGAATCCCATACAGACCGTTCTTAGCAGAGGACCATGATCCCGGCCAGCGTTTTCACTGGTAGGGCTAAACTACTGCTCAGTCTGACGGTGACTTTGGAGGCGACGTTTGGTTTGAAGTCCAAAGGCAATCTCAGGAAAGTACACGCAACCAGAAAGCCCATCAAACTGTTCTGTACTTGCCTCCCTTTTGGTCAGGAATCTTCCTCTGACCGCTGTTGGGCAGCAGTGGGTGGGTGAACTCCATCGGGTTCTGGTCAAAGGAGGCAGCTGTTCATGGTGGCCAGTAGCCGCACAGTCCACATCCTCTTCCCACTAGGCTTCCACTGTGGTTCCAGGTGGAGAAACCAACTGCTGGCTTCGTGGCTGCGCCAGAGCTTCCCGGGAAATCGCCATCCACATAAGTACTCGACACTGATCTAGCCTCCCTCGGTGTATACAGGCAGCTCCGTGGCTCCTGGTGACAGGTGCCCCGGCCACAACTCGGGTCCCTCCAGGCAGACACAGCTCCCCACAGACCTGCTCGGTGCGATCCATCGGCCTCAGTGCAGGCTGTCACCCCTCAAGTGACGCTGCCTCCACCCAGGACACCTCTCCTCCACAATCCTCACACCCAGCTCCCACCGCTACACACGCTCCGGGGGATACCGCGGAACCCAACACCGGAAACACAGCAAGCCTCCGGACCCTGGGCCAGGCCCCTCCCTCGCGCCCCTGCGAGCACGCCCGGCGGCGGGCTGGACCCGGCTACCAGTACCCTGGCACACCTGCAGCCTGCACCCTCAACCCTCGCTCCGCCGCCGCTGCGACTCGACGGTCCCTCACGCACCCAGGCGCAGCTGGGAGCCCCCGCGCCAGGGCGGTGACACAAGAGCAGAGGACGCGGCCAGCAGCTTCGGGCGCACGTGCAGTGCGGCCGCGTGGGCCCGGCATCGCCCTGGTCTCCCGGCGC